AGGACTACTCTAAGATACACCGCCAGGTAGATAATGTTTAACTTTCTTGTGTGTTACATGGGACTACTCTAAGATACACCGCCAGGTAGATAATGTTTAACTTTCTGTGTGTTACAAAGTTGACGTAGTATATATATTTGTTTAGATTAAAGTTGACGTTCTGTTTTCAATAAGTTTAATTTAACCAATATACAGAAGTTATGTAAAATATTTCAACCTAAACTCCGACGTCATTTTTGTCAGACACATATTTATTTATAATAACATCAAACATAAGATTTTTTTTTTTATTATTATTTTCGTTTTATTTCTCTGAGCAAAAACTTTTGGATCCAACATTTGTACAGGTAATAGTGTTTGGGTTTTTATTTTATTTTTTCTATTTACAGTCAAAACGCTATACACACTTCACTTGAATAAACCAAAACCAAAACCAAAGTCACAGCGTAACTATAACAACAAAGTTTACGATCGCAATCAAGGAACTGGGTACTCACTCTGATTAATCGGACGCATGTGGTCGGAACAGCGCCACCACATCAACAAAAAAATACAGAGGTCAAGCTAATATAACAAAAAGCTGATTGACATTTTTAAACTGTATATCGGACACTGTACCGGTTCTGTTTGAATGGAAAGTGGATAACGTTATCTTTACTATTATTAATCACGTCCGAAACACCAATTAACCGGCTTTTCTTACTGTATTGATTATCAATGTTTACTATTGAAATTCTGAGAAGATTCTGGTAAACAGTTCATTGTTAGGTTGTTGTTTTTTTTAGATGGTATAAAATAGAATGTTGTAAAGAAAGAAAGTCGTATTTTAAGTCAAACATATATTATTACACACAAAGAAATAAGTATATTTTTCTTTAATTAGGCACGAGATTTTTTTCAGAGACTTATCTTCTACCGAAGGTGTCGCAGCCTTGAATGTTGGTTGGAAAAGCTGAGAAAAAAAAGAAAAAGAAGACATTCCAAACATGAAACAATACAGACTGTTTCAATAGATTTAGTTATGGCCAATCAGCAGGAAACTGTACTAAATAATTCAACAACATATACGGCCTATAATTCAAGGTTTCACTTTGTTGAACCAGCTAATAAAAAACGTTATATTTAATTATCCACATTATTTGATTAATTAAATATTTAATTTCCTTTAACGAGTTATTCAATAAAGGTTGTTTAGTTAAGGTTTTGTTGTAAGACGTTCATTAGTTTAAACTCTAGTTGAGATTTGTTCCTTAGACACCTGGCGGTTAGTTAGAGAAACAAAAATAATGTTTGTGAGATTAATTTGAAAAGGTTAATCCCCTTCGTTGTCATAACACACTAACACACGTTAACACACTACAACACCACCACCACACGTAGTTTACTGACAAGATTGTAGTTAATACAGTACAACACCACAAGTAGTTTACTGACAACACTGTATCTAGTAGTTATTACAGTACAACACCAAACGTAGTTAACTGACAAGATTGTATGGAGTAGTTAACACACTACAACACCACAAGTAGTTTACTGATAAGATTGTATCTAGTAGTTAACACACTACAACACCACACGTAGTTAACTGACAACACTGTATGTAGTAGTTAACACACTACAACCCCACACGTAGTTTACTGACAACACTGTATGTAGTAGTTAACACACTACAACCCCACACGTAGTTAACTGACAACACTGTACCTAGTAGTTAACACACTACAACCCCACACGTAGTTAACTGACAACACTGTACCTAGTAGTTAACACACTACAACACCACACGTAGTTAACTGACAACACTGTATGGAGTAGTTAACACACTACAACACCACAAGTAGTTTACTGATAAGATTGTATGTAGTAGTTAACACACTACACCACCACACGTAGTTAACTGGCAACACCGTATGTAGTAGTTAACACACTACAACACCACAAGTAGTTTACTGAAAAGATTGTACGTAGTAGTTAACACACTACAACACCACACGTAGTTAACTGACAACACTGTATGTAGTAGTTAACACACTACAACACCACAAGTAGTTTACTGATAAGATTGTATGGAGTAGTTAACACACTACAACACCACAAGTAGTTTACTGATAAGATTGTATGTAGTAGTTAACACACTACAATACCACAAGTAGTTTACTGATAAGATTGTATGGAGTAGTTAACACACTACAACACCACACGTAGTTAACTGACAATATTGTATGTAGTAGTTAACACACTATAGAAATATATATAGTTTAGCAACCATTACTTTGACATAGACATCGATTTTTTATTTACCCAAGGCCTGCAGACAATTTAACAAACGTACAGTGTAAGTATATTGATTTAAGAAATATATATATAGTCTATTAGATTCTGTATGGTTCACAAATATTGTGAAATGTTTGGAGCCAGGGACAGTGTACTGATGTAAGGAACAGCCGGGGACAGTGTACTGATGTAAGGAACAGCCGGGGACAGTGTACTGATGTAAGGAACAGCCGGGGACAGTGTACTGATGTAAGGAACAGCCGGGGACAGTGTAATGATTTAAGGAACGTCAAATGCTTTAGATGCTGTACGTCATAAGACTTGGAGGAAATGTGAACTCTTATGATTTATTGAAACCAGTTTTGGAGTGTTTGCTTTTCCGATTGAACAGAAGAGCTTTATATAAATATATAAAGATATTTCTACTTAGACAGTTTTAAAATCGTATTTGAACAAAGTACAACTTTAGTTGAGGGTTCAAATGATGGAAAAAATAGAAACCTAATCTATCGATGTTTTTATTTACCTGTTTCATACCGTCGTGTTCAGCTCTTCGGGAAAGGAGAAGTCTTTAACTTGCTCGGGGTCTGTTTGTTTATGAGAGTGGGGTAAAACCCTCACTCTGAGTGAACTTTCTTGGGAAAGACCGTGTACAGTGGCTATTTGAGGAATGAAACAATCCAGAGTAGGACGAAACAGTATGTTATACACCTGTTTATCTGACAGTGTATTATACACCTGTTTATCTGACAGTGTGTTATACACCTGTTTATCTGACAGTATGTTATACACCTGTTTATCTGACAGTGTGTTATACACCTGTTTATTTGTCAGTGTGTTATACACCTGTTTATATGTCAGTATGTTATACACCTGTTTATATGTCAGTATGTTATACACCTGTTTATCTGACAGTGTGTTATACACCTGTTTATCTGACAGTGTGTTATACACCTGTTTATCTGACAGTATGTTATACACCTGTTTATCTGACAGTATGTTATACACCTGTTTATATGACAGTATGTTATACACCTGTTTATATGTCAGTATGTTATACACCTGTTTATATGTCAGTATGTTATACACCTGTTATTAGATTATTGATCCATTATTTTTTTCCTCCCCGAAGGAACAGATAGAGGGCCACGAAACTAGTAAATAAAAATGGATGTTTTAAAATATAGCAACCACATTTATATAAAGTATAAATACATGTATTGAAGTAAACATTATTTGTTTTACTGCGTTATTTACATATATACGTTAGCAGTATCATATATATATATATATATATATATTGAATTAAACATTACTGGTAATCTTTCAACTATTTATTACGTATGTAGAAAAATTAGTTAAATGTCTCATTTTTACTTTAGCCTTCCCTCCCCTTATTTCCTTTAAAAATGTGACAATCCATGATAACAACGTGGTGAAACGTTTTTATTCTTGTTTGTTTGAAAACAACCAAGCTGGCAAAGAAACGTTTAAATAAAGTACCTGAATCAGGTCAGGAACTATTTGCTGCCGTCCCTAATTTTGAATTATTGACCAGAAAGAAGGCAGCCAGTCAAAAGCATCCTACCATCCACGCTAAGGAATTGTCTGTCACTCTTATAACGCAGCCACGGATTAAAGTACGGTGAATATTTTTTTTAGGCTTTCGCACGGATTCTAATCGAGCTCCCAAATCGAAAGTTGTACAGCAGGAAATCAAGAGAGATAAGGAAATTACTGAATAAGCAGCTAAGTAACTAAGTATATATATATATATTTACATATAAAATATTGAAACTTTTAAATACTAACTATAATTATCAACCCATCCCCGCTTACCTGCTCAAAATCTCGTGGACTTCTCATTGGAATCTGATTAAAGTGACTTATATACTTCTGTGAACAAGGCCATCTGGTGGCAGCAGTAGAGAAAAGATGAGCTCCTTCTATTGTGCTTCGCATCTCTAGGTTAAAGTTGAAGATATATGGTGAGAGGATGACCACAAAACGATATCAACAACTTTAAGTTATCAACACAGTTTTTAAACAATAGTGATACACCTGATTGTTGCGTGGTCGGATTTCTCGTAGTAGTTATCAACACAA